AAGCATGCATCACTTCTTCCTCCCTCCTCCTCCTCCTCCTCCTCTCTCTTCTCTCTCTCCCGCGCTACTCTTCGCCTCCCCCGCGCTACGGGCCTCTCCCCAAGGCCACCCCCTCATGCCTCTCTCTGCTGGCCACTCCTCGCTCTCCTTTCTGCCACACTCCCTTTTCGGGGCCTCCCCGCGCCACCTCCTCGCCTCCCCGCGCCACCTGTCCCCGCCACCCCTCGCCTCTCCCCGCGCCACTCCTCGCTCTCCTGCAGCTTAGCCCCGTTCTCCCCTGCCGACCCTCGCTTCTCTCACACTTCCCCGCGCCACCCCTCGCTCTCCCCGCGCCACCCCTCGCTCTCCCCACAGCTATTCACCTCCTGAGAAACTTGGCTTGTTTCTCCCTTTTCTCTTGATTAGGCAGCAGCTTAAGTATTTAATTCACTTATTTCAAAGAACTCGGTATATAAAACATAACGTTTTGCCAATTGCTTATTTTCTAAAGCATTAGTTTCTGTGTTTTCTGCCTTGCTCAGGTCTGGATAGGTGAGAAGACGACCACGGTAACAACAAAACTTGCAATGGCCTGACACATACAGTGAGATGGGAGGGCTCAGCTCCCACTTCCCACCCTGCAGAGACCACAGAGGCCAGGGAGGGTCAGGCGGCACAGCATGAGGATTCCAGTGGAACCGGCAGGCTGTCTGCAGGGAGGCCACTAGCCCCGCAGGAGCGACACACTGCACAGAAATCCTGGGACTGCAACACTGCAGTGGTTTCCCTAAAGCTGCACGACACTTCCCTCCCTGACAGAGAAAAGGGCAAGGGGCTGCCTGCCACCCGCTCCTCCTCAGCTCCTTCCTTGCTGGCGATGGGATCCCCTGCACACCTGTCACTCACCCGCAGCACCCAGAGCCTCCACGCCCTCACCAGTGCAGGGGGTGGGGGCTCCTGCTCTGCCCCAGCCCCACAGCGTCCTTCCGCCCTGGGTGGCGGGTGACAGGGCTCCAGGGAACAGGTCTGGCACGGGCTGTGAAAGTCAGTGTCTCCTGGCGGCCCCTCCACAGCATCTCCCTTTGATGATGCCGGTGAGCCTGGGCCTCTTCTCACCTCTGGACTCGTGCTCTCTAGTGGGGGTGCTCGGCCAGCTCACCTGACGCCTGCCCTGCACCCCCTTCTCTCTGCCAGCTCAGGGCTGCCCTCCGGGTTGTCCCCAGACCCCTGTCTAGCTGGCGCGCTCTCTTCAGTGTCTGCAACCGGCTGCCACACCCACCCCCTTATTCTTTAATGGAAATGGTTATAGTTTTGTTTCTAGACTGTATTTGGTTCTGTTTTCACACTGGCTCTGTCCTCAGAGGACCCTGCCCTTTCTCACTTTCACCTCTTTACCTTGCTATTTTTATCCTGTATCTCATCAACCCAAATTATGTTACTTTCTGCTCTAATGCTCCTTTTGTGTGCTGATGTGTGTGTTTTGTGATTGTAACCAATACTGCTGGTCCTGGGTCTGTGGGGAGCTGCTGGCCCCACACCGGAGCCGAGACCCCGCACTCCAGGGAGGCGGTGCTTTCCACAGCCGCGAACCCCAGGCCAGAGCCACTGCCGTGCAGCCTCACTGGGACACAAACATTCAGAAGGACACTGGTCGCCCCGCCCGGGACACTTCAGCCCAGCCCATTTACAAGGCTAATGTCTCAGCTTAAGGGCTTTCCAGTCCAACACAAAGAATAACTTTGAACCCTACAACTACATGAGGACGGACCATGGTCACAAATTCTCAGGAGAGAGGATTTAAAAGAAATTCTAAAAGAAAACAGACTACCCCAGGGTGTACAGTGGAAGGCTCATCAATCACCTTTTGTTGAGGAGGGGCCTTGGAGGGTCTGGTACAGGTGGGCTCTGGCCCAGTGCAAAGAAAGGCCTAGTCTCCCATGTGAAATCAAAGCAGACAGGTGCCCAGGGGCGACTGGAGACCTCTAACCCCTCACCTCCCCTCTGGGCCTCTGTGGGCCTAGGTTTCTCCTTCTGACTGATCAGAAGGATGCTGGTCAACTCATTAGCATTTCAGGTATTCCGTAGTGGGAAGGTTTTTCAGAATAACAGGCCACCATAATGCCAGAAGCAGAAGCCCACCCCTGTTATGTTACTAGGTTTTTATTTTATTTATTGATTTATTTATTTTTGAGACAGAGTCTTGCTCTGTCACCCAGGCTGGAATTTAGTGGCTTGATCTTGGTTCACTACAGCCTCGACTTCCCAGGGTCAAGCAATCCTCCTGCCTCAGCCTCCCAAGGAGCTGGAATACAGGAATGTGCTACCATACCTGGCAAATTTTTTAAAATATTTTTTGTAACGATGGGGTCTCACCATGTTGCCCAGCCTGGTCGCGAACTCCTGGGCTGAAGTGATCCTCCCATTTTGGCCTCCCAAAGTATTGGGATTACAGGCGGGCATAAGCTACCATGCCCAGCTAGTTTTGACTTTTTTGTTTGTTTTGAGGCAGAGTATCACTCTGTCACCCAGGCTGGAGTGCAGTGGTGCAATCTTGGCTTACTGCAGTCTCCACCTCCCAGGTTCAAGCAATCCTCCTGTCTTAGGCAGAGTATCAGGTTGTACAGGCATGTGCCACCACATCCGGCTAATTCTTTTGTATTTTTAGTAGAGACGGGGTTTGTCACCATGTTGGCCAGACTGGTCTTGAACTCCTGACCTCAAGTGATCTGCCCACTTCGGCTTCCCAAAGTGCTGGGATTACAAGCGTGAGCCACCGCGCCCAGCCACTGGAGCATGCTTTTGCATCATCTCTTGACCTCCTGTCTCTGTCCATTCTTCCTAGGGTGCCTCTGATTGGAATGCTGGCCTCAGGGTTCAGCCTGCTAGTTCATTCTTCTCTTTCTCTCCTACTTTCCATATTTTTGCCTTTTTCCTCTATTTTCTGGAAATTTCCACAACTTTCTCTTCCAATTTTTCTATATTTTTCCCATTTCTATTATGGCATCTTTAATTCACAGAAGGTCAATTTTATTCTCTAAATGGGGCTTCTCCATGGTGACACCTCTTGTCCTGAGAATGCATGATGCCCACTTATTTCCCTGAGGATATTAATCAGAGATTTTCTTTCTCTGCTGTTTTCTTCTTCCTGAACCATCTACATCTCCAGTTAGTGTCTGTTTCTTTTGCTGCCGCCTTTTCCACTGGGAGCTCCTCGGCTGCGAGGAATTACTGGCTGTCTGCCCTGCTGGATGGTGTGACCAGGCCAGTTGTGCCTCCAGCACCGGTAGCCTTCCCTGTAGCTCCTCGCCTCCTGGCTGCAGTGCCCTGAGGGCACTCCTGTCCTTGGCACACTGCCTGTCCCGGCTGGACCTGCACCCTCCCGCAGTGGACGCAGGCCTGCCATCCCCCCCACCACTAGGCCTCACCCAGTTGATATGGCATCCTCTGGCCCCAGGCTGCTCCAGCCAGCAGGACCCCCATCCCCTTCAGATGCAAACAGGGCAGCACACGTCCCACACGAGGAGGCCCCACGGAATCTTTGCTGGCTGAACCCATGTGTTTGACACATGGAGGAAAATGCCAGCATGGTAGGGCCTGGAGGAGCCGCAGGTCTCCTATGAAGGGGAAGGTAAGCAGGAGGTGTCAGAACTGCGAGTCTATTTCTGCTGAGAGCCTCAGTGGCTGCAGGGATCAGGCCATGTACTTCCCAGAGGAGTGGCGGGAAGGGGCGATGAGCGTGCAGCACAGAGACGGAGGGCTCGGCAGGCGCCCCACCTGCCCTGCTCTCAGTCTCCGCCCTGTAGCCCGGACAGCATGTCCTGCGCCCCAGGAACCTTAGCTGAGTCCACACCCAGACCCACTTCCACTCTGCCCCTTCACATCTGGCTCAGTGTGCAGCTGACCCCATCCTGGCACCAATCCCATTTTCAGCCAAAACTGGGTCACGCGGGGTTACTATCCCCTCTACCTAAGGGGCCCTGCCCTCACCCACAGGTGAGGGAGAGCCTGTGAAGGAGTGCCCCAAAGATGAAGGCATCTATCAAAGAGCAGGGCCAGGAGAGACGGAGCGCAGGGGCTGAGGAGAGGGTGGCAGGAGCCCTGTGATCTGAACCCAAAGTCACCATGAGCAGAGCAGGCGGGTCCAAATGCTCCAAACCAACCCTTCAGTCAACGGAGCCCAGCCCAGCCCTGTAACCACGCCCCCCACGCTTCGAAAACACACCGTGCCCAGGCCCCACCAGCACCCCCATCACTGGGCCCTCCCACACCTGCTGCCTGGAGAGGAGGCCTGGAGCCTAACAGACCTCTGCCCCAGAGGCCTGGGTCTTTACAAGAGCTGGTCCCCTGGGCACGAGGGTCCCGTTCTCCTCCTTGCCAGCTACCAGGGCTGGCAGTCTTCCTGACACAGGACACTGGGAACATGAGGCCATGGGTTGTGAGGGCACTAAGGGCACCTCAAGATCTCCAATCTCCACACCCCCTACTAACAGGAATGCCTCCAATCCCACCAACACTCCCCAACTGTCAGTGGGAGCGGAAAACAAGGTCCAGGTCCATGACATGCCCGCAGTCCCCCGCCAGGCACACAGAGGGCTGTGGACACTGCTGCCAGGAATGGGGCTCCTGGCAGAGGGTGGGGTAAATGAATGTGGCCCCATCCCCTGGGTCCTGGGATGCCCAGAGAGCGGACACTTTTCTAGCCTGGAGTGGGGAGGAAAACAAAAAATCATGGCTTTGAAGAAGTCTCTTGCTGCCCCCCAGGCATGTCCAGGCCTCAGTGGACCCGCAGTGTAAGGTGGAGGGGCTCACCGGGAGCAGAGAGAAACAAGAGACAGAGGCTGTGTCAGCCCCACAGGGACTGCCCAACCAGCCAGCAGCCTCAGCCAGGAGGCCCCTCCCTCCAACAGCCTCCCTTCCTGCAGCCTAAAGGGCCCACCTGTCCCCCCTAAAACATGCATGCCCGGGCACAGCCCCCCTACAAAGAGGCACTTGAGACAGAAGGTGACGAGGCCGCCTCTTACCGGAGCAGAACGCCATGCGCACCGTGTCCTGCTTGGCCATGCCCAGCACAGGCAGCAGGGAGCTCAGGACGGATGGCAGGAAGGGGACTACGCCGAACGCTGTGAGAGAGGACACTGTCAAAGGCCTCCACCAAGCCTTCCAGTGCCCCGTGCTCCTCCTGGGGCAGGCTGTGCGCCACCTACCATTGGCCACCGAGAGGCTGGCGAGGGTGTGCAGCACGGCGCAGTGAGGCAGGGTCCCAGGGTGCAGCTTGCGCAGCAGCTCCTCCATCACCTTGCTGATGAACTGCCTTCCCACGGCCACCAGGACGCCACTCGCCGCCTGCTGCCAGTCCCAGACCAGGTCCTGAACCCAAAACACCAGCAAGGAGAACCTCTCCCTGAAATCTCCCGAAAGGCGAGACCAAGACATTCTGCCCTCAGTGGCTGCCAGCCTCGGACAAACGCACGCTGTTTTCAGTGTCCCTAAAAAGTGCGGGTCAGGGAAGGTGGCGGGCACAGCCTCCCCTGCTGAGGGGCTGCCAGGAGACCCCACACGCACAGGAGAAGCAGAGCCTTGGTGAGAGGTGAGGGGCTGCTGCCAGGAGACCCCCCCCACAGGAGCAGAAGAGCCCTGGTGAGAGGGGACTGTGCCCAGGGCCCAGAGACAGTTAGGCAAACCAGAGCCCTGCTCCAACCCCAGTGCCGGGCACGTCCTTTGGCCCCGGCTGCAAGCACACTGTGGTCCTGTGTGTGCTGAGTTCTGGCAACTTGCTCTCTGCTTCAGTTGCTGCCTCTGAAAATCACAGGGGACCATCCCCCGCCCCTGCAGGGTGGTGAATGGGACCAAAGGGCCTCTGCCAGCCCAAGGCAGCCAAACACCACCCTACACTCTCAAGGCTGCTGGGTGGCAAGGTCAAGAAGCAGCTTCCCTTCCCAAGCTAGGCCTGAGTCTGCGAGGCCAGAGGGCCTGCTGAATACCTTCGTCTTGGTCATCTCGCTGGAGGCCAGGAGGATGATGGTGCTGGCTGTGTCCTTGTCCAGCTCACTGGCACGACTGCTCAGGACCCTCTCCATGGCCCTCAGGACCGCCGCTCGGTATGGGTGCGCCAGCTGCGGAGAGACACCGTCCAGGACGGTCCCAGGTGAGCCTCACGCCCAGACACTCTGAGTGCCTGTCACTGTCTCTAGGAGATGAAACTGCACAAATCTCTCTGCCTCAAGCACAGGAGGGGAGGGGTACACCTGATCACTCCTCATGTCCTAAAGGCAGACCTGCAAGCCTCACACTCACGGCCCATCTCCAGAAGGTGGAGCGTTATCATAACTGCTCCAGACAACTAACATGCAGAGGGCAAGGCGGGGGACTCTCTCCCCCACGGGTAGCCAGTAGGGTCTCCCAGTCACATGACGCTCCCAGGACCCTTCGGCCTCCTTGCCCTGCCCTCCCCTGTCAGAGGAGGAGCACCCTCCGGTCCCCAGCTCAGTCTCTGCCTCAGTCTCTGCCACTAGGTTAGTGCTTATATCCAACGGCCCCTCCCCAAGGCTGCTAAGGAAAAACACCACCCACCACACCACCTTCTGCCACGGCCCGAGGCCCCCTCTACCTCCCAGGTTAACCCTTCACAGAGTCCAACACCTGCCTTCATCCTACCCCTAAACAGCTCTCCTGTTGACCACCACCCCCACTGTAAATCCAAAGAGCACACACCGTCCTTGCCTCAACTGGGGACGCACCAAGGACTGGGACTGAAAGCTGGGACCCGCAGGGGCACACAGCAGAGGAGGCTACTGCCCAACCCAGGAAACGACCCTGGGGCACCCGGCCACCCTGTGTTGACAGCCCCTCCCCAATGATGCACCCACCACGGCCCCTCCCTCCACCACCCTGAGAGCAGCCTGCACCAGGCAACATGGCGCCAGGAGGGGCCGGCACAGGGCTGTCCATTCTCACATGGCTATAAAGATATACCCGAGCCCGGCGCGGTGGCTCACGCCTGTAATCCCAACACCTAGGGAGGTCAAGAGGGGCAGATCACCTGAGGTCAGGGGTTCGAGACCAGCCTGGCCAACATGGTGAAACCCCATCTCTACTGAAAAAAAATACGGGCCGGGCACGGTAGCTTACACCTGTAATCCCAGCACTTTGGGAGGCCGAGGCAGGTGGATCACCTGAGGTCAGGGGTTCAAGACCAGCCTGACCAATGTGGTGAAACCCCGTCTCTACTAAAAATACAAAAATTAGCCGTGTGTGGTGGCAGGCGCCTGTAGTCCCAGCTACTTGGGAGGCTGAGGCAAAAGAATCGCTTGAACCTGGAAGGCAGAGGTTGCAGTGAGCTGAGATGGCACCACTGCACTACAGCCTGGGCCACAGAGCGAGACTCTGTCTCAAAAAAAAAAGAAAAAAAAAAAATTATCCTGTCATGGTGGCGGGCACCTGTAATCCCAGCTACTTGGGAGGCTGAGACAGGAGAAAAGCCTGAAGCCGGGAGGCAGAGGTTGCAGTGAGCCGATCATGCCACTCCAGCCTGGGCGACAGAGCAAGACTGTCTCAAAGAGGGAAAAAAAAAGAAGAAATACCTGAGACTGGGTAACTTACAAAGAAGAAAGATTTAATTGGCTCAAAGTTCTGCAGGCTGTACAAGAAGCATGGCTGGGGAGGCCTCAGGAAAACACAATAATGGCAGAAAATGAAGGGGAAGCAGGCACATCTTACATGGCCTGAGCAGACGCTTCCAAACAACCAGATCCTGAGAACTCTATCATGGGGACAGCACTGAAGGGGGAAGTCGCCCCCAGGATCCAGTCACCACCCACCAGGCCCCACCTCCAGCACCTGGGATTACAATTCAACATAAGCTTTGGGTGGGGACACAGATTCAAGCCATATGAGACACTGATGGTCACGGGGTCTGCATTCCCCTCATGCACTCTGACAGCTATGGCAGCCATGGCAGGTGGGGGTGGGCCCACATGGGAGAAGTGCTACCCGCTCAGTGAAGACAGCCACGAAGGACATTTGAAGGAGAGCATGACAAGGTTGTTTGGAGGAGAAACAATAGTAGGGAGGCTTGGGAGCTTCGTGAAAGCCTTGGTTTTGTTCAGAAACTATTTGAAGTTGACACCCAACCACTTGACACGCACTTGGCCCTGGCGTGAAGCAGTGCTGGTGACAGGGCAGCGCCAGGCAGCTCCCAGACCCACATACACTTGCCGTAGGTGGCTGTGGCACACGTGTTCAGAATCACGCAACTGTCTCAAGCGTTGAGTCCCCGCATCAGTAACAGGCAGGCGTGCTCACTGCCACTCTGCGGAATGAGTTATAAACTACCACGGTCTAGCCCCAGGCCCACAAGTGGGAGGGACTTTTGTTCCTGAAAATAGCCAGTGTAGGTCACCAGCCTCAGCATGGAACACGAAGTCCACGTGGAACCTGCCAGTTCTCTGGGGAAGAGCTTCAGCTGGGGTTGATTTTCACTGTTAGATTTCCCATCCTTAAGTGTTGGTGCCGCAGGGAGGCAAGAGCGAGGCTGGTGGGGGATCAGTCTCACTGTGCCAGCCACCTCTGCCCACAGGCTACACACGACTCCCTTTCCTTTAAGGCTTCTGCAGGCAGACTGTATTTAAATTCTATATTACAGAATCATTTCTTTTTTTTTTTTTCTGAGACAGAGTCTCTGTCGCCCAGGCTGGAGTGCAGTGGCACAATCTCGGCTCACTGTGACCTCCGCCTTCCAGTTCAAGTGATTCTCCCGCCTCAGCCTCCAGAGTAGCTGGGACTATAGGCGCCTACCACCACGCCTGGCTACTTTTTGTATTTTTAGTAGAGACGGGGTTTCACTATGTTGGCCAGGCTGGTGTCGAACTGCTGACCTTGTGATCTGCTTGCCTCAGCCTCCCAAAGTACTGAGATTACAGGCGTGAGCCACTGCACCTGGTTACATTTTTTTTTTCTGAGTCAGGGTCTCACTCCATCACCCAGGCTAGAGTGCAATTGTGCGATCATAATTCACTGCACCTTGAACTTGCGGGCTCAAGAGATCCTCCTGCCACAACTTCTCAAGCAGCTGGGACTACAGGCACACAACACCACACTCAGCTAATTTTTTTTTCTTTTTTTTTTTTAGATGGAGTCTTGCTCTGTCACCCAGGCTGGAGTGTTGTGGCACAATCTCAGCTTACTGCAACCTCTGCATCCTCGGTTCAAGTGATTATCATGTCTCAGCCTCCTGAGTACCTGGGACTACAGGTATGTGCCACCACTCCTGGCTAATTTTTTTTTTGTATTTTTAGTAGAAATGAGGTTTCGCCACATTGGCCAGGCAGGCTGGTCTTGAACTCCTGGCCTCAAGTGATCCACCCACCTCCGCCTCCCAAAGTTTTGGGATTACAGGCATAAGCCACTGCACTGAGCCCCAGCTAATTATTTTTATTTATTTATTCATTCATTCATTCATTCATTCGAGACAGAGTCTTGCCCTGTCACCCAGGCTGGAGTGCAGTGGTATGATCTCGGCTCACTGCAACCTCCACCTCCCGGGTTCAAGCAATTCTTCTGCCTCAGTCTCCTGAGTAGCTGGAACTATAGGCACACGCCACCATGCCTGGATAATTTTTGTATTTTTAGTAGAGATGGGGTTTCACCATGTTGGCCAGGATGGTCTCAATCTCCCAACCTCATGATCTGCCCGCCTCAGCCTCCCAAAGTGCTGGGATTACAGGTGTGAACCACTGCGCCCGGCCTATTTTATTTTTTTTAGAGGTGGGGTCTATGTTGCCCAGGCTGGTCTCAAACTTCTGGCCTCAAGTGATCCTCTTGTCTCAGGCTCCCAAAGTGTTGGGATTACAGGCGTGTGCCCTGGCACCCAGCCTATGGTTTCTGACTTTCATAATCTGGACACTCTTCCCAGGCAGGAGACGATGCAGTCCTTGAGAAGCCCATCCCCATCTGGGACGTCACAGAGCCGAGGCTGTAAGTGGGTGGATCAGCTGCCGGGGCAGCACGGCTGGTATAGTGCAGGAAGCGTGGGGGAAATGATTGAAAATCAGTGTAAACTGGTCTGGTTCTACCTAGTCAGAGCACGGCTGAGCTGGGAACAGCAGCTTGGGTGCAGCAGGTGGGCATTTATACCCATCCGACTGGACCCGCTGCTGAGAGGGGCAGCTCAGGTGCAGCAGGGCATTAATACCCACCCAAACAGACCCACAGCTGCCATCTCCTCTGGTTCTTGGTCATGGAAACACAGCTCAAGTTGCATTATGCTTCCATCTTTAGCTACTAATTCTCTCCACGTATATGAGAAAGTTTGAGGGAAATCTTTACAGATTCCACTCACAACTGTGGCATCTCCATCTGTCACTCTGTGTCCTGGTGATTGGGTGCTCAGTGCAGGGTGACAGGCTGGCTCAGCAAGTCTGCAATGGGTTATGCAACTGGAAAACATAGGAACCCATGAAAAAGGCATAGGAATCTACATTTTACAAAAAATGGATAGGGGCCAGCCACAGTGGCTCACGCCTGTAACCCCAGCACTTTGGGAGGCCAAGGTGGGAGGATCGCTTGAGCCCAGGAGTTCAAGACCAGCCTGGGTAACATAGTAAGGCCCTGTTTCTACAAAAATAAAAACAATTAGCTAGGTATGGTGGTACGTCTGTGGTCCCAGCTACTTCGGAGGCTGAAGCAGGAGGATCACTTGTGTACTGGAGGTCAAGGTTGCAGTGAACCAAAATTGCACCACTGCACTCCAGCCTAGGAAACAGAGGGAGTCCATCCCTGAATTTAAAAAAAAAAAAAAAAAAAAAAAAAGTTATGCATTACTTCTGTTCTGGGGTTGGTTTGAATTGTTTGATTTCATGGTATAAGTACAATATTTTTGGCCGTGTATGGTGGTTCATGCCTCTAATCCCCATGATGGTGACAGGAGGCAGCCAAACGCTTAGGCAGAGAGGGATGGGTCCCCCGAGAAACCCCACCTCAAGCTGAAGATAGTTTAAAGTCAAGCTACAAGTTAAATCCTCAGTCTGGATTGAGAGCCTGTCTTCCTGTCTGGCGCGCTTTCCTCTGATTGATCCCCACCCTTCACCTATTTTACATATACCTACCCTTTTCTAAT